CTCGAGGATCTTGGCCTAAGAATCTAAGGAGGTAGGCCCTAGGTTGCTCTAACTGGTGACCCTCCTATATAGCTCACCCACAGAATGGCAGAGTCGACCTATATTTCTACCCAGAAACGTTAGCCGCCAAAAGCTAATATAACAGAGCTCGTGATCACACCGGGGACAATGCAATCTCTCGCCTAATTGCATGAGCACTCCTCACTGTTGAAAAGAATGGCAGGATCCAGCTGGTTCGGTCGCATCCTTCCTCCACCATGTCGTCCGGAGCGAAACGCAGTTCAGACAGCATTAATGCGCATCTTAATCGGGGGTACTTGGTAGCAGCAGATAAATTCCGAATTGTTCGAAATACCCGTCGCCGAGTCGACTCATCAAGAAGTATTACCAACAAGTGCACGGAAGGCGGCAACGACTTATACATTCCGGGAACAGCTACCATCCCATTATCCCTAGTCTTTGTTGGTCAAATATTTAAAATGTTGGGTCGCCTATTTGAGACCTGGTTGTCGCCCATCCACTACAACACCAAAGGAACAAACTTGCCCTTATACGCCGATCGGTCTGTTTTAGACTGATCGCAAAATAGACACGTAAGAGAAGAACGACTCCGAATCAGTCTGTGCAGACAAACCTCGGCAGTTTCGTAGAGTTTATTATGCGCGGTTATCGTCATCCCTGATTGGTCTGCAACTTTATTTTTGCAGCCAGGTCTCGTTGGGGAAGCAGACCGGTTATTATGATTTCTGCGCTATTCGGTAGCATGAGAAAAGCTGCAGAGGTAGTAAGGCCAAAACGTGGTAGGATGAATAAGATATGAACTTTGGGGATAAGCGTGAATACTGTCTAGAGCGAAGAAATTCATGCAAACACATGTTTTAGCGTTAGGAGATACCATACTAGCAGGTTGCTAGCTAAAAGCATCATCACGTTTCGGTCTGCGCCTACGGACTTTAGTAAAACTAATCTACTCGTTAGCAATTAATTTCTGAGGAAACCGAAAAAGCAACGACACATACGTCTGCTAAGCTCTCATCGGGTCGATAGAATTGCATTCAACACATCCAAACTCACCTATTCCTCGCCATACTTAGCTCGTGTTTCTTGCCCGACACCAGTTATAGGAACTGGACTAATTACCGCACCATGATGCCTTCACCCATCTGATCTGTCTGAAGCTGACTATCAGACTACATTTCGGCCAGCCATATGACGGTTCGACCGTCGTTACCGACGATGTCCACCGTTGGTTTCACTGCAAGGTGGGAACATGCACGCTGACTTGTGCCTGAGTTAGTTTATAGTGATAGTGGACTTACACAGCACCTACCGCGCTCTCCTCCTCTCCCACCTGGGCCCGGTCTCAAAGCACAGTCATGAAGGCCGAATGCGGGAGAGGATGCAGGTGGCTGGCACGGCTGAACCCGCATCTGACAGTTCGAGTGTCGTTTCCGGCGATGTCCACCGTGTGCTACAGAGTAAGGTGGAGCAGGGACGGTGACTTGTGCGTGAATTAGTTAACAGTGATATCAGACTTGCACAGCATCTAGCGCACTCCCTCCTCCTCATCCTCCCCAACCTGGATCCGGTGTCAAGACGGAGTCAAGAAAACCGGAGGCGGGGGAGGACGCAGGTGGGTGGTGCGGTCGAGCCCGCACCTTGGCGTCCACTCGACTCAACCTGTTATGTCGATCTTTTCGCGTCTCCGAAGATGGATCCGAGAACAAGTCCGAAAATTCAGGCGAATCCAGTCTTGCTCCCAGCGGTCGACTCTCAAACTTTGATGGTGCCAAATCGCATGTACGCAATGTAATTGTACCGCCCTGGTGAGAATTTACTGGAAACAAACGTTTGCAATAATCTCTTTTAAACTGTTTAATGGGGGCTGTCGCAAAACGGTTGAAGACTTCTGTATACAAATTTACAACACCAATTAAATTTGCAACAGCAAAAAACAAAAG